CGTTATTTATGAATGCTTACCTCTGTGTGTGTGTTTGTAACAGTAACTATTTCCATACAGCAGGAAGATTTTGCAGACGGTTTCAACGAAAATTCACAGCCTTAAAAACCATAGTGGGGCAGGTGTACTCTGTCCTACAGAGTAGCTATGAGTTAGAATTACCTTGATGGCAGTAGGTTTGTGTTAGGCTTGCTTAGACCATGGAAATCATGATGATTAGCTTAAAACCAATTAGTATTCTTTGACCAAAATGTAGTCTAGTGTGGGATCCAGTTCTAGCTCTTGCAATGTAAAGAAAAATTCGAGTTGGATTTCTGTGAAATAATTTTCTGAGTGATTCATTTCCCTGTGTCATTCTTGGGTGACAAGAGTTTGAGGTGTACTGTCTTTGCCAATGAAGAACTTCCATGAACCCGGGTACCTAATGCTCTCATACTGCCCTCTGCCCTGTGGTTGCCATAGTTATCTACCTATCTATCTATCTATCTATCTATCTATCTATCTATCTATCTATCTATCTATCATCTATCTATCTATCTATCTTTGATCTATTTATCTACCTATCTATCTATGTTTTATAGTCCTGGCACTCAGCCTTTCTCAGTGTCCTAAAATTACCACTTTCATTCATTCTTTCCTCTGATCAGATCCTCTAGTCTATCAGTTCCCTCAGCTAGGAAATAATGAAACAAGCAGATGGATAACATCATGCACATAAAAAGTCACCTACATTAATTGCTAAGCAAATATCTCTCAGATTGTATGACGGCAGTGTGGCAGCCAGGAGACAGGATATTTGGGAAAACAGAAATTACTTCAGTCTCTCTCACAACATCTCATCAAGCATAGGATGTGTACATTGATATCAGATTCTACAAAGTCCCATAGCCTGGTCTTTAAAAATGGCCTATGCTAGAATTTCGTGGTTTAAAATACCAGCTTTCCATTCTAGAACTATTGATGCTCAGGCTGTTTGCTACTTTATTTCTTTGTGGAAATATTATTACATTCCAGCATTGTACCCTGGTGAAACTAAGACTTTAAAATGTTAATTCTTCAGTTTAAATGATCCCTGTGTCCCATTTTCAGTTTGTCTGACAGGGTAGTTTCCTCAGAGGACTAGCAAATCCTGCTTTGTTTGCTTGGTGTATGTGGTACTCAGGAATGTTACCCTCAGTTTTCCATTCTTCAAGTGCAAGATGGCACTGAAGCTACCCTACTTCTCCACAACCGGTGCCATCTTCTCCCTCACCTTAGGCTTCTCCTTCACAGAGAGGATATATTGTCACTTCACTGGATATATGTATTACCTATTTTAAAAGAATGTCTTTAAAGAGGTGGCCCTTTTATCAATTTAAAAAACCCAGTAAATTCAAGGAAATTACATCTTAGCTTTTTCACCTCTAACCTATATTCTCTACCCTCCTGAAGGCCATAAATACTATTTCCTAAGATATTTATGTTGAAAAAAATGTGATCTGTCTAGATTTTCTAGGCTCTGGTTTTACCAAATAGTGGTTGAATAGCAAAAGAAGAAACCATTATTGTTCTAAAAATTAAAATTGCAATACTTATGAACTACAAAAAGCAATAAAACAAGGGATACCTGTATCTATTCATCTATATCCCTACATATACCTACACATGCATGTGCAGGCACTCATATATGTCTGCCCATATATATAAATATATATACTATATGTGTATATAATCACACTCATGGTTTATAGTTGCTGTAAGTATTGTTGTAAAATTGTGTATGTTATACCATTTAACAAGATTTTTGCTTATTCTTATATATTTATTTTAAAGATATTTTTATTGGCATATAATTCAACATCATAAAATTTTTAATAGTGCGATCATATTAAGAAGAGTTGTGTACTCATCGCCACAATTTCAGAACACTGATCGTGGCTAGCTCCCCATTGTCCTCCAGCTTTCTCTAATATATCCAGTTACTTCCTATCTTATATATACATATACAAAGTCATAGAAAATAAAACCAAGACACAAACAAGAAACCAACAACAATGAAAAAACAAAACAGAGAAAAATCTCATTAGAAAATGAGGTAGTTAATTTATTGTGCCAACCTGGCTGATAAACACATGTGGGGTTAATTGAAGGCGGAGGGATAAATGGCTCCGTGAGCCTCGTCTTTCTAGTTCTCAGGTCTCTTCCTTTCTGATGGTCGGACCAAGGTACAGCTGCTTTAGCCA